AGTTTACTTTTAAAAAGTTGCCAAATGGTTCCATTGACAAGACCAAAGTGATCTGTGTGTTTTGTCATTGTGAACTGAGCTATCATTGCAGCACGTCCAGTCTGAAATACCACTTGATGGCCAAACACACAGCTGATGCGAATTCTCCGCCCCCTCGTCAAAGCCAGGCGACAATGGATGATTTTTCAATAAAAACAACAAGCAAGCCGATCCACTTTTCCATGTTGATAAGAGCATTAAAATGAGAAAAAATAATGGGACAAAAAGAAATCAAGGGACATTTAGAATAGATAAAAATGTGCGATTAATTGCGAGTTAACTATGACATTAATGCGATTAATCGCGATTAAATATTTTAATCATTTGAAAGCACTAGTTTATATGTTTATGTTTATATGTTTATATGTTTATGTGTATATATGTTTATGTGTTTATACAACCACCAAACCCGCCATTTAAAGCAAAAAGTTAGGAAATCTGAAAGGAAATGGCGCTCTTTAAATTATCAGAATATCGCTCAATTTGGCATGATAATCTTAAAACCTATAGAAAGGTCCTCCATAATGCCAGAGGAGCGTATTATTCAGCACTAATAGAAGAAAATAAGAATAACCCTAGTTTCCTCTTCAGCACTGTAGCCAGGCTGACAGAGAGCCACAGCTCTATTGAGCCACATATCCCCATAAACTTAAGTAGCAATGACTTCATGAGCTTCTTTTATAATAAAATTATTACTATTAGAGAGAAAATTAATCACCAACTGCCATCAACAGTTATCAGTGGCTCTCCAAGTTCAGGAACTTTAACTAATGTAAACTTAGATATATATTTAGACTGTTTTTCTGCTATCGATCTTCATCAGTTAACTTCAATAATTTCTACATCGAAGCCATCAACCTGTCTATCAGACCCGATCCCAACTAGGCTGCTTAAAGAAGTCGTACCCTTAATTGGCACTTCTTTACTGGATATGATTCATCTTTCTTTATTATCAGGATATGTACCACAGTCCTTTAAAGTAGCTGTAATTAAACCCCTTCTTAAAAAGCCCACTCTTGACCCAGGGGTTTTAGCCTCCCCTTCCTCTCTAAGATTCTGGAGAAAGTAGTCGCCAAAGAGTTGTGTGACTTTTTACATAACAATAGTTTATTTGAGGATTTTCAGTCAGGATTTAGAGTTCATCACAGCACAGAGACAGCTCTGGTTAAAGTTAATAACCAGGGCTTCAGACAATGATATGTCTCTATACTTGTATTATTATATCTTAGTGCTGCATTTGACACCATTGACCATAATATTCTTTTACAGAGACTTGAGCATCAAATTGGCATTAAAGGAACCGCACTAAGCTGGTTTAAGTCATATTTATCAGATTGTTCGCAGTTTGTACACGTTAACGATGAATCTTCAATAAATACCACAGTTAGTCATGGAATTCCACAAGGTTCTGTACTCTGACTAATACTATTTGCTTTATATATGCTCCCTTTAGGCAAAATTATTAGGAATCACTCCATTAACTTTCACTGTTATGCAGATGATACGCAGTTATATCTATCAATCAAGCCCGATGAAATTAATCAATTATCTAAATTACAAACATGTCTTAAGGACATAAAATCCTGGATGAGCTGCAATTTCCTGATGTGAAACTCAGAGAGAAACAAAATTCTTGTTCTTGACCCCAAAAACCTTAGAGACTCACTGTCTAAAGATATAGTTAGTCGGGAGGCAGACACCCTCACCACATTCAAGAATAGGCTTAAGACATTCCTCTTTGATAAAGCTTATAGTTAGGGCTGGATCAGGTGAGTCCTGAACCATCCCTTAGTTATGCTGCTATAGGCCTAGACTATCAGGGGATTTCCCATGATGCACTGAGCTCCTCTCTTCCTCTCTCTCTCTTTCTGCACTCATTCATGTCCCATTAATGCATGTTACTAACTTCACTTCTTCCCCGGAGTTCTTGTGCTTTCTCGTCTTGCAGGTTCTCATGGATCCTGGTGGAGCCTCCTGCCATGGTCCTGCTAGATTGCCATTACCAATACTGTTGTTGCTGTGCACCTGTCTGTCTGTCTGTCTCTGTCTGTCTGTCTCTCTGTCTCTGTCTGTCCATCTCTCTCTCTCTCACCCCAACTGGTTGAGACAGACGACCACCCACCTAGAGCCGAAGGATCTGTCCTAGGTTTCTGCCTTTTAACAGGCAGTTTTTCCTTGCCCTTGTCTCCAAGTGCTTGCTCGTGGTGGTACTGTTGGGTGTTTGTAAATAATGTTATAAGGAGTTCAGTCTAGACCTGCTCTATTTGAAAAGTGTCCTGAGATAACTTCTGTTATGAATTGGCGCTATACAAATAAAATTGAATTGAATTGAATATGTGTTTATATGTTTATATATTTATATGTTTATGTGTTTATGTTTATATGTTTATGTGTATATGTTTGTATGTTTGTAGGTTTATATGTTTATATGTTTATATGTATATGTTTATATGTTTATGTGTTTATATGTTTATCTGTTTATATGTTTATGTGTATATGTTTATATGTTTGTATGTTTATATGTTTATGTTTATATGTTTATGTTTATGTGTTTATATGTTTATGTGTTTATATGTTTATGTGTTTAAGTTTATATATTTATGTGTATTTGTTTATATGTTTGTATGTTTATATGTTTATGTGTATGTTTATGTGTATATGTTTATATATTTATGTGTATATGTTTATATATGTATGTGTTTATACGTTTATATGTGTTTATATGTTTGTGTTTATATTTATATTAGGGATGCACCGATCCACATTTTTTCACTTCCGATCCGATCCCGATACTTGAATTTGGATATCGGCCGATACCGATACTATTCCGATACCAGAGCTGTGTTTGCTTTAATATTATTATTATCATTATTGTTGATTTTATATGAGGCTGAAATAAACTCCTCTCAACAGGCAAGTATGATATGTACGTATGTATGCATGTATGTCCCAAAAGGCAACTTAAGGTAAGTATAAGGTCAGAAAAGGAAGTCAGAAAAACAGGAAATCCTGTTAACAGGAAAAATCCCATTCTGAAAACAAATATGTAACTGTAAGGGTTTCAAATTTTTTGTCATGTCAATATTTATTAAATTCCCAAAATGTCAAATATTTGAGTCTTGAAATATGAGAAAAGTGCAATAAGTGTAAACATCTTACACACACACACTATCAGTAAAACAGTGTGCATCTGAACAGCACAAATCAAGTACACTGGCTCTTGTAGTATCAATAAATCAAGGTTTTAAAATGTCAATTATCTGAAATATAAGAAAAGTGCAATAACTGTAAACATCTTATGCACGCACGCGCGCACACACACACACACACACACACACACACACACACGTTGTCTGCCTGGAGTTTACCTTGTTTCTGGAATGACTCCAGAAGTGATTCCTGACAGCTCGCCTAAAAATTCCTCGTGCTGTTTCGTGTGGTGCTTTTTTAAATGTTTGATTGCGTTCGTAGTGTTGTAAGACACGAGGGCGCTTCCGGGTCTCTGAATTACGGCTTTGCAAACATTGCATTTTGCTGTCTTGCTCTGCGGTGTTTCCAGTGTAAAGTATTTCCACACAGCGGACATGTTGGCTAGCCACAATGCTGCTCAATGCTATCCTGCTAGCTGGCTGCAAACTGTGGAATGGATTTCCTGAGCAGAGGCGTGTCTCATAACTCTGTGTCTCATTGAGCCGCACCTCCATTCAGGAAATCCATTCCACAGTTTGCAGCCATCTAGCAGACTGGCCGGCGTTAAAGCGCACACATGGCTCATGGATATCGGAAATCTGCGCAGGTTGGATCGGGAAATTCCGATACGTGAATTACGCTGGTATCGGTCCCGTTACCGATACTGGATCGGATCGGCCCCATCCCTAATTTATATGTTTATGTGTTTATATGTTTATGTTCATATGTTTATGTGTTTATATGTTTATATATTTGTGTTTACATGTTTATATGTGTTTATATGTTTATGTGTTTATGTTTATATGTTTATGTTGATGTGTTTATATGTTTATGTGTTTACATGTTTATATGTTTATGTTGATGTGTTTATATGTGTTTATATGTTTATGTGTTATGTTTATGTGTATATGTTTATGTGTTCATGTGTTTATATGTTTGTGTATATGTTTATATGTTTATGTTTATATTTTTATATGTTTATGTTTATATGTATATGTTTATATGTTTATGTTTATGTGTTTATGTGTTTATGTTTACATGTATATGTTTATGTGTATATGTTTGTATGTTTATGTGTATATGTTTACGTGTCTAAGTTTATATGTTTGTTTATATGTGGATGTGTTTATATGTTTATATGTTTATATATTTGTGTTTACATGTTTATATGTGTTTCTATGTTTCTATGTTTGTTTATATGTTTATATGTTTATGTTCATATCTTTATGTGTCTATATGTTTATATTTATATGTTTATGTTTATATGTTTGTATGTTTATGTGTATATGTTTACGTGTATAAGTTTATATGTTTGTGTTTATATGTTTGTTTATATGTTCATGTTTATATGTGGATGTGTTTATATGTTTGTTTATATGTTCATGTTTATATGTGGATGTGTTTATATGTTTATGTTTATATGTTTATGTGTTTATATGTTTATATGTTTATATGTTTATGTTTATATATTTGTGTTTACATGTTTATATGTGTTTCTATGTTTATATGTTTATGTTTATATATTTGTGTTTACATGTTTATATGTGTTTCTATGTTTATATGTTTGTTTATATGTTTATATGTTTGTTTATATGTTAATGTTTATATGTTTATGTTCATATCTTTATGTGTCTATATGTTTATATGTTTATGTTTATATGTTTATGTTTATATGTTTATATGTTTATATGTTTATGTTTATATGTGTATAACATTACTGTATCTGCTGTCAGCCATTCTCATATCAAACATCACAAACTGTCTGTCTTCACCTTGGAATGTCCTGTTCCACATCCTCCTGGTCACTGCGTCCCCTCTGGGCCTCTGGACCCCTCCTGGTCCTGGTCCTGGTCCTGGTCTCTGCTCGCTCAGAGTCTCATTCAGAGCCTGAGAGTACATCATCACTCCATCATGGAAACCCCCCGCTATCAGGTTGTACTGAGAGACACAGAGACAGAGAGACAGACAGACAGACAGTCAGACAGACACAGAGACAGACAGACAGACAGACAGACACAGAGACAGACAGAGAGACAGACAGACAGTCAGACAGACAGACACAGAGACAGACAGAGAGAGAGACAGACAGACAGACACAGAGACAGACAGACAGACAGACAGTCAGACAGACACAGAGACAGACAGACAGACAGACAGTCAGACAGACACAGAGACAGACAGAGAGAGAGACAGACAGAGAGACAGAGACAGACAGAGAGACAGAGAGAGAGACAGACAGAGAGACACAGACAGACACAGAGAGACAGACACAGAGACAGACACAGAGAGACAGACACAGAGAGACAGACACAGAGACAGACACAGAGACAGACAGACACAGAGAGACAGACACAGAGACAGACACAGAGACAGAGACAGACAGACACAGAGAGACAGACACAGAGACAGACAGACACAGAGACAGACACAGAGACAGACAGAGACAGAGACAGACAGACACAACAGAGACAGACAGACACAGACACAGAGACAGACAGAGACAGAGACAGACAGAGACAGACAGACACAGAGACAGACAGACACAGAGACAGACACAGACACAGAGACAGACACACACAGACACAGAGACAGACAGACACAGAGACAGACACAGAGACAGACAGACAGACAGACACAGAGACAGACAGACAGAGACAGACAGACAGACACAGAGACAGAGACAGACAGAGACAGACAGACAGACACAGAGACAGACAGACACAGAGACAGACACAGACACAGAGACAGACAGACACAGACACAGAGACAGACAGACACAGAGACAGACAGACAGACACAGAGACAGACAGACAGACGACAGACAGACACAGACACAGACAGACAGACACAGACAGACACAGAGACAGACAACAGAGACAGAGACAGACAGACAGACAGACACAGACACAGAGACAGACAGACACAGACAGACAGACAGACAGACAGACACAGAGACAGACACAGACACAGACACAGAGACAGACAGACAGAGACAGACAGACAGAGACAGACAGACACAGACACAGACAGACAGAGACAGACAGACACAGACAGACAGACAGACACAGACACAGAGACAATGGCTCATAAACATGTAAATATATATTCATAGATTTAAAGCTTAAAGTTAGCCAGGAAGCTAATGTTAGCCAACTAACATAGACATTTTGCCATGATGTATAACGATATCCGGCTATAGTGTTTTGCTACTTTAGCTAGCTAGCAAGTCATCCACATTAGCAATGATGAATGTGCTTTTAGCTGAATAACGTTAGCTTACGTTATTCAGCTAAAAGCACATTCACACAATATGTTCCATGTTAGCAGTAATGTTTTATAAGCTAACGTTAGCAGACTCTATTTATAAGCTAATGTTAGCAGACTCTATTTATAAGCTAACGTTAGCAGACTCTATTTATAAGCTAACGTTAGCAGACTCTATTTATAAGCTAACATTAGCTACATTAGCTACCAGAGAGTCTTTGATGGTGAAGTTGAACATTTTCATGGCGTCGATCTTCAGACTTTCAACAAACTGAAGATATTCTGGATTCTGAGGTTCCAGGTAGGACAGGACCTTCACACTCTGACAGACAGACAGGCAGACAGACAGACAGTATTCATTATTATGATTATTAATATTAATAACAATACTTACTACTTATAACAAGTATTAATAATAATAATGTCTCACCCTGAAGGCCTGACGGGCAGCAAAGTCGTCCTGGTCTCCTCTGTACCACGGCCTGATGGGGCCCCGGCCCCCCAAACCCTCAGCAAACAGATCAATGAAGAAGAACACATAGTCCTCCAACTCCACCCCCTCCCTCCAGAACTGGACCAACAGAGTCCTGAAGATGTCCCAGGAACAGCACAGGTACACCACTGAAGAAGAAAAAGAGGACTGTTGAAACAGAGGACAGAGGAAGAACACAAAGTCATGTAGCTAACGAGCAACTAGCTCAATGTTAGCTCAATGTGAGCTCAATGTTAGCTCAATGTTAGCTCAATGTGAGCTCAATGTTAACTCAACGTTAGCTCAATGTGAGCTCAATGTTAACTCAATGTTAGCTCAATGTGAGCTCAATGTTAGCTCAATGTTAGCTCAATGTGAGCTCAATGTTAGGTCAATGTTAGCTCAATGTGAGTTCAATGTTAGCTCAACGTTAGCTCAATGTGAGCTCAATGTGAGCTCAACGTTAGCTCAATGTTAGCTCAATGTGAGCTCAATTTCCGCAACAACATGTGCATATTTGACCGGTGACCTACTTTTGTGACGCTCATCCCGCAGGATCACGAGGTAAAATCCTCCGACAAACTCTGTGTCTGAACATGCCATCACCCAAATGCTGATAAAAGCTGGACCATGTACTAAGACAAGTGCTTCACAGACTACCACCGTGCTCTTCAAACAACAGCAAACAAAACTCTTTCAGACTGTAAACCACGCGAGCATACTATGGAACCCAAAAACAAAACCGAAAGGCATCTTTGGGGGACATTTAAATATATACGTAGCGTCATATCAAAGACTAAACAACTCGAACATTTATTAACAGACTCAAACCTCGATTACATGTGTCTCACAGAAACTTGGTTAACTCCTACAACTCCTTCATCTGTATTTAATGTGTCAGGTTATAAGATATACAGACGAGACAGATGTAAAGGGAAAGGCGGGGGTTATGTTAAAGAGAACATTCAAAGCAAACAAATTGATATTTATGAAAACTCCCTGGAGTGTGTAGGGGTCAATATTACTTTATCCCCTGAAATGTCATTTGTTGTTTTTTCAGTCTATCGACCTCCTACTGCTACAAATGTTTTCTTTGACAATTTATCAGAAATTCTTAAACAACATGAAAGTAAAGACGTTATACTTATGGGTGACTTCAACTTAAATTGGCTTGACAAAGCACGCAGGAAAAAGCTCAAGGATATTGCCAAAACATATCAGATGATACAAATGATAAATAAACCCACAAGAATAACAAAATCTTCTCAACCCTACTGGATCTAATTTTTACAAATAAACCAGATAGGATAACTAAAACATACAACTTGATTACTGGTTTGTCAGATCATAATTTCACTCTAGCTGCTAGAAAGCTAACTAGATAACGGTATAGGAATCAAATCTCACTGAAAAAATAACCCCAATATATCTTTTATTCCAAAGAAAGATCTAGTATTTATTGAAAATGAAATAAAACAAACAAATTGGAATAAAACTATTGAAAATAAATCCTGTGAGCAAGCATGCAATGATCTAATGCCAGCTTTTAAAGATATGTTAATAAAATATACAAAAACAATGGCCAGGAAATCTAATGCAAAACAGAGTCTGCCTTGGTTTAATAGCAATCTCTTGGACTTAATGGAAAAAAGAGATGCCTCCCTAAAAAAATGTCTAAAGTCTGGATGGATTACTGATAAAGTCATAATGCAACTTAGAAAGGCAAAAGCAGATTTCTTCCTTGAAATTATTAGAGATGCCAAAGGGAACAGTAAAAGACTGTGGAAAAGCATTGACAAACTAACTGGAAAGGAAAAGCCCAAATATGACAGCATACAGCTTAAAATAGATGGAAATATTGAAGATGATAGCCTAGCTGTCGCTACAAATTTTAATAATTATTTTTTAAATTCTGTGCAAACATTGGGTCAGAATTTTCCAAAGATCCACCCTCAGCACTCCTTAGTTTGTGACAGTTCTGCCTTTCGTATAACACCAACAAATGATATAAAGGTTAGAAAGGTCCTCTCAACCCTGTCCAATAGCAAAGCAAAAGACATATATGGTCTTGATACTGCCTCTCTAAAACATCATAAAAAATCTATAACCTCTGCTTTAACTAAAATAATAAACAAATCTATTAATGAAAGCACTTTTCCCAGTGCCTTGAAATCTGCTATAGTAACCCCTTTGTATAAATCTGGTGACAAACAGGAAGTTAGTAACTATCGACCTATTAGCATCCTGCCAGCCATTTCAAAGGTCATTGAAAAGGTTGTAGCAGAACAACTAATTGCTTACCTCGATTCCAGGGCTTTTTTACATCCTATGCAGTTTGGCTTTCGGAAAAAACATTCAACAGAAACAGCATGCTGCTACTTCCTTGAAGTAACTAAAACAAACCTAGATCAGGGAGGAGTGGTGAGAGCAGTTTTTCTTGATTTGTGCAAGGCTTTTGACATGGTTAATCATGACATACTATTAAACAAACTGGCAAATTATGACCTTCCCATAGACACACAAAATTGGATTAAATCTTACCTGAGTGGCCGACATCAGTGTGCGCAGGTGAACAATACTCTATCCCCATTTAAAGTATGCACCCTGGGAGTGCCACAAGGGTCAATTTTAGGGCCGCTGCTTTCCAGCATATATATAAATGACTTATATAAGACTACACATCTGTGTGTAATGATGTATGCTGACGATACTGTGTTATATACTCACGGGAAAAATGCAACTGAGGTTGCAATGAAATTAACTAAGGAAATGCAGAAGGTTGTTGGATGGTAAATGGACCATTGTATAGCACCTTTCTAGTCTTCCGACCACTCAAAGTGCTTTTACACTATGTGCCACATACACATTCACGCACCGATGCATGGCATTGGGAGCAATTCTGAGTTCAGTATCTTGCTCAAGAATACCTTGACATGTTGCACCAGGAGCAAACTCAGGGATTGTCCTGAAATCTTAGTAAATGGGCAAAAAATAAAAAATGTGGATGAATTCAAATATTTAGGGGTTACCCTTGATCAAGCTCTTAGTTTTAAAAATCATGTTAAAAAGCTGAGTAACACACTGAAATTTAACCTCATAAACTACAGACACATAAGAAACTCTCTTACTGTTGAAGCATCACATAAATGCAGTGATTCTCCCACATCTTTTCTGTTGCATGAGAAGTTGGTCTCAGGCATGTAAAACAGCCTTAAAACCACTTGAATCATTATATAAAAGTGCCCTTAAGATTCACGACAAAAAAACACGTCAGTATCATCACTGTCATATACTCACCAAATATAGTATTTTAAATCTTGAAAATCTAATAATGCACAAACGTATGCCTACAGTTTAAAATCATTCATAATGCTACTGCTCCTCCTTTGAAAAAGATGGTTACACTCTGCTCAGAAACAACAACAAGAGCTACCCGATCAGTCACCAGGGGAGAGTGCAGTATTCCTAAACGCAGGACTTCATTTGGTAAATCATCTCTTTCTTTTGTTGCCAGAAATCAATAGAACACACTTCCAACAGAGCTGATTACATATACACATTACACAAAACGTTGGATGCTCTCACAGTAAACTTGTGTGTGTGTGTGTGTGTGTGTGTGTGTGTGTGTGTTGTGTTTGTGTGTGTGTGTGTATTTGATGGGGGGGAATATTTATTTATAAAAGTTGGCGGGAGGGGGAGTAAATTGTTTTAAATTGTTTTAATGATGTGGGAATGTGTGTATTCATAACTTCGTAATTGAAATTTTGCACAACTGTGAATTTAGTATCTGTTTTGAATTAAAAATAAATCTGATTCATAATAAAATATTCTCTCTGTAATTTAAATTTAAATTTCTTATGTTTTAATTGTCCTATAATAAAATATAACAACTGTGTGTGTGTGTGTGTGTGTGTGTGTGTGTCTGTGTGCCTGTGTGTGTGTGTGTGTGTGTGTGTGTGTGGTCTGTGTGTGTGTTACTGTGTCTGTGTGTGTGTGTGTGTTTGTGTGTGTGTTACTGTGTGTGTTACTGTGTGTGTGTGTGTGTGTGTGTGTGTGAATAATCACTAACTGGAATTTAGAGCAGAGAAGAAGAAATGATTAGCGTGTTAGTGGTTAGCTCCCCAGCAGTTCATAAGAATGTTACCAAGAAACAAATGAGTCATTAAAGGGTTAACGACCTACTTCCTACTACTACTTCCTACTTCCTACTTCTACTTCCTACTACTACTTCCTACTTCCTGATTTTACAGGAAATTGCATTCTGCTTCCTGTTTGAGAGTGACCTCGGCTGAAAGGAAGGAACTGAAACAGGAAGTGGAAGCAGCGTCTGACCTCGGCCGTTGTCACGGATCTCCTGGACCACAGACTTGTAGTTGACGTTGTCAGACTCGATGACGTGGTCCCGGATGGTGATGTTGCGTTTGAGGAGCAGCGTGTAGAGCCCCTCCACAGCGAAATAACATGGCCGGTCGTCGTTGGCGTCCTTGTTGTCGCTGAAGATGAGCATGGCGTGTTGCCGCCAGCCGAATGTCTCCTGGATCCTCTCGCCTAACTCGCCCAGCTTCTTGTGGGTGGGACCCGTGTTGGTGACCGCTGCGTAGTGCTCGAAGCCGATGGCGCGTGCGCCAGCTGTCACCATGGGAACGTCCCAGTGGGTGGTGAAGCGGGCGACGGGCGAGGAGGAGTAGTCGCAGCCGGGGCCGATGAAGGCCCAGGGGTCGTGGGACAGCTTGAGGTCGACGGCGACCAGTGGCGCAATGGAGTCCGAGCAGAAGCCATCGCGGTTCTCTGAGCTGCCATAGACCAGCTGGAGCTTCATGCCCGGGAGCAGCGAGGGGTCCGAGTTCACCTGCTGCACCGCCTGGTGGAGCGCCGGCGCCACGCGAGGCCACGACCACGCATAGTCTGTATTAGTCAGAGGCAAGATGGCTGCCAGAGTCACCTCCTGAATATTCTCTTTGGCGTTGTCGGAAGAAAGAGAGGCCGATTGGACCAGGAGGAAGAGGAGGAACAGTGAGGGGCGGGGCATGATGGCGAGCCTGTCAGACGAGCTGCAGGGAAAACAAACACAGTTATTAATGATGGATTCTCTTCAGGAGCTGCTGGGATTTCTGGGAACTGAGCCAGCGTGTCCATGTGGGCTCCTTAAACTGTCAACCATTATCCCCATGTGGGCCCCATGTGTGTCTGTGGGGCCACAATTCTGGAAGTTATTAACGTAACTGAACTCCAGGAGGATATTAAAGTTAGTGTGTGAATATCAATAATGAATGAATAAATAATGATGGTGGAAGAAGTTTAATGTAGATTTACAACCTGCACATTCGTCCTCAGCTCGTTTGTAGTTCTGATAACAGTTATTTTCTATCCTCTGTAAGACTTCTGAACTTATAAAGACATTTTATTCAGGTAACGCTGCGTTTCACTGGTCGCCTGTCGATGGCGTCCTATCCCCTTTATGTCTGCGTCAGTGTTGTGGTTGTCTGCCAGAAGCTGTCATACATTGACTGTTGATCCAGTGTGAAGCCACATTGTTACCATCCACTGGTTAGATCTTGGTGCTTTTTAACTCTAGATTTGAACCGGATGAAGGATTTTAGTCATCAGACGTCTGGATCTTAAGTTATCAGGGAAACAAGCTGAGCTAACGTTAGCATTAGCAGCTAACATTAGCAGCAGCTTCGAAAGCTAATGTTAGCAAAACACTAACAAACTAGCTAGCTAAACTACATTCATTGTTAGCTTCCTAGTTACATTTGAAAGGAGCAAAATACTTATTAGCATTTAGCATTAAGCTGACTGCAATGACGGCAATGGTGGTGAAGACAACAACTCCCATGATCCCACGCTGCTTCACCACCTCATCACACTTCTTCTTTTCTTATTGTTTGGATAAAAGTACACACTGAACATTTAACTGCGATAGAAGATAACATTGGGAACCGGAGGGTCGCTGGTTCAAATCCCACAGACCACAATATGGAGTCTGGACTGTGTGTGTGTGTATAAGAATAAAAAAGAGTGAAAAGAAGAATTTCCCCAATAGGGGATTAATAAAGTACATATCTTCTTCTTCATGTATTGTTATAGATATTATTATTATTATCATTATTATTATATATTATTATAAATATTATTATAGACATTATATTCTTCTTCTTCTTATTATTATTATTATTAGATAATATATATTGTTATAAATTATTATTATTATTATAATATATATTATGTTTTAAAGAGTTCGGTCTAGACCTGCTCTATTTGAAAAGTGTCCTGAGATAACTTCTGTTATGAATTGGCGCTATACAAATAAAATTGAATTGAATTGAATTGAATTAATCTTTCTTTATTATCAGGATATGTACCACAGTCCTTTAAAGTAGCTGTAATTAAACCCCTTCTTAAAAAGCCCACTCTTGACCCAGGGGTTTTAGCCAACTATAGACCGATCTCTAACCTCCTGAATTGGCGCTATACAAATAAAATTGAATTGAATTGAATTGAATTATTGTTATAGATATTATTGTTATTATTATTATATTGCTATAAATATTATTATAGACATTATTATTATTATATATATATAATTATATATTATATATTATTATAAATATTATTATAGACATTATTATTATTATATATATATAATTATATATTATATATTATTATAAATATTATTATAGACATTATTATGTATTATTATTCTTCTTATTATACATTATTATATATCTTATTATAGACATTATTATATATATTATTCTTATTCTTATTCTTATTATATATTATTATATATATTATAGGAACATTATATAAACTAATTTAGTCCCTCCAGGACGTTGCGATCACAACAATTAACACAAATTCAACCAAACTGTGAATCAGGTTTTATTCTCAGTGGAACTTCAACTTTTAATAAATTCTACATAAACATCAACAATAATAATCACAACTAATATTACAGTTTATAATACTATTAGTTCTTTATGATCTGATCTCATTGATATTTATATTTATATGTATAGAGCAGCCAGGGATGCTAGTTCATTACAGTTATTATATATATTGATCAGACTGATAAATAAAGCAATTATTACATATTGATCAGACTGATTATATATATATACAGTGTCAGAGTGTAACTATATGTAACTCTGTAATGTGACACTTATTGATCTCATTATCAGACTGAACTTCAGAACAAATATGTAGAAACAAAGAAAGACACAATGTTCCAACTGCTGCTCTCTGTTTGAAAGCTTCCTGTGATTCTTCAATCGATATGGAAACATTGGTAATAACCGATCAGCACGTTGATAAAGTCTGCGGACACTGATCGATCACTTACTATTTGAAATAAAGTCTGATAATCAATAGTTGTGTTTATTTACCTGATCAGTTCTTCAGTCCGTAGCTTGCTGCAGCTCCATGTCCGCACGAGGAGGAGGAGGAAGAAGAGGAAGGAGCGCGCGGATTGTTCCCAGCTCCCCCTCACACACACACACACACACACACACACACACACACACCGGGATCCGTTCACGTTTCACCGTCACACCAGAGTCTCGAGCCGCTGCAACCTGGCTGTGTGTCTGCCTGTCTGTCTGCCTGTCTGCAAGCACTGTGTGTGTGTGTGTGTGTGTGTGTGTGTGTGTGTGTGTGCGTGCGTGCGCGCGCGCGCGCAGAGGGCACGAGGGCAGTCACGATAACGCCGCTGACTGTGATTGTGCGCGTGCGTCTCGGAGGGAATATTCAATTACCCTGATGAAGCTCTGGGCGCGCGTTGTGCATGAATGCGCATGTGTGTGTGAGTGCGCCCCCCACAGCTGCTGAAGCTCATTCAATAACCATAAAGTTTATAATCAATAAATCAATCAGTTATTGACATTGTTATTGACGCTAATCGATCACTTCATCAATTAGTGATGTCAACAGCAGTGCCAGGTATTGTGTGTGTGTGTGTGTGTGTGTGTGTATGTGTGAGTGTGCGTGTGTGTGTGAGTGTGGTGTGTGTGTGTGTGTGTGTGTGTGTGTGTGTGTGAGGCAGTAACAGGTTTGGTTGAGTGTGGCGCCTCCTGCTGGCTGCTCCTCAGAATACTACAGGAAGTAACTGATTACTTTTACTCCGTTAAATGTATTATATATAATATATCTATATATTATAATGGAGGAGAGGAGAGGAGGAGAAGAGGAGGAGGAGGTGAGGAGGAGAGGAGAGGAGGAGGAGAGGAGAAGAGGAGGAGGAGGTGAGGAGGAGAGGAGAGGAGGAGGAGAGGAGAAGAGGAGGAGGAGGTGAGGAGGAGAGGAGAAGGAGAGGAGAAGAGGAGACGGAGTGGAGGAGGAGAGGAGGAGGAGGAGGAGGAGAGGAGGAGGAAGAGAGGCAGCACTGAACCTTGACAGTTAATATTCAACAGTTTATTATTGATCTTTGACCTTCAGTTTACCTTCCTCCAAAAGCCTCCTTAGAACGTTAAAGTTAAATTTTTATTAAAGAAGTTCTGAATTTACAACAGTGAGTGAGTGTGTGTGTGTGTGTGTGTGTGTGTGTGTGTGTGTGTGTGTGTGTGTGTGTGTGTGTGTGTGTTTAGTTCAGACAGTTAATGAACGACCCACTCACTGTGTGTGTTTTAACAGGATACACCCGGTGGACAGGAAGTCACTTAAACACACACTGTACCTCTTCCTGGAAATGATCACACACACATGCGCACACACGCGCACACACACACTCCCTCTCTTCCTCCCACTCTCTCCTGTTAATGAAAATGAAAACACTCGTTTGTTCTTGTTGTACTTGAACAACATGGTGGTGGGAACTGTTGGGTCTAGACCTGCTCTATTTGAAAAGTGTCCTGGAGAAAGTAGTCGCCAAAGAGTTGTGTGACTTTCTACATAACAATAGTTTATTTGAGGATTTTCAGTCAGGATTTAGAGTTCATCATAGCACAGAGACAGCTCTGGTTAAAGTTAATAATGACCTTCTGACTGCTTCTGACAATGGACTTGTCTCTGTACTTGTATTATTAGATCTTAGTGCTGCATTTGACACCATTGACCATAATATTCTTTTACAGAGACTTGAGCATCAAATTGGCATTAAAGGAACCCCACTAAGCTGGTTTAAGTCATACTTATCAGATCGTTCGCAGTTTGTACATGTTAACGATGAATCTTCAATAAATAGTACAGTTAGTCATGGAGTTCCACAAGGTTCTGTACTTGGACCAATACTATTTACTTTATATATGCTCCCTTTAGGCAACATTATTAGGAATCACTCCATTAACTTTTATTGTTATGCAGATGATACGCAGTTATATCTATCAATCAAGCCCGATGAAATTAATCAATTATCTAAATTACAAACATGTCTTAAGGACATAAAATCCTGGATGACCTGCAATTTTCTGATGTTATTCTTGTTCTTGGCCCCAAAAACCTTAGAGACTCACTGTCTAAAGATATAGTTACTCTAGATGGCATTAACTTGGCCTCTAGCACCACTGTCAGGAATCTTGGAGTTATCTTTGATCAGGATTTGTCTTTTAACCCCCACATAAAGCAGACCTCTAGGACTGCCTTCTTTCATTTACGTAATATTACAAAGATTAGACACATCCTATCACAGACAGATGCAGAAAAACTAATCCATGCATTTGTTACTTCAAGGCTGGATTACTGCAACTCTTTACTATCAGGTTGCCCATTAGTCCATTAAAACGCTCCAATTAATTCAGAACGCTGCAGCACGAGTACTGACAGGAACTAGAAAAAGAGATCACATCTCTCCTGTACTAGCTTCTCTGCATTGGCTCCCTGTAAAATGTAGAATAGAATTTAAAATCCTCCTCCTCACCTATAAAGCTCTTCATGGTCAGGCCCCTTCATATCTTAAAGAGCTCATAGTACCCTATTACCCCTCTAGAACACTACGTTCTCTGAATGCTGGGCTACTTGTGGTTCCTATAGTCTCTAAAAGTAGAACAGGAGCCAGAGCCTTCAGTTACCATGCTCCTCTCCTGTGGAACCAGCTTCCAGTTGTGGTTCGGGAGGCAGACACCCTCACCACATTCAAGAGTAGGCTTAAGACATTCCTCTTTGATAAAGCTTATAGTTAGGGCTGGATCAGGTGAGTCCTGAACCATCCCTTAGTTATGCTGCTATAGGCCTAGACTATTGGGGGATTTCCCATGGTGCACTGAGCTCCTCCCTTCCTCTCTCTTTCTGCACTCATTCATGTTCCATTAATGCATGTTACTAACTTCACTTCTTCCCCGGAGTTCTTGTGCTTTCTCGTCTCGCAGGTTCTTATCGATCCTGTTGGAGCCTCCTGCCATGGTCCTGCTGGATTGCCATTGCTAATACTGTTGTTGCTATGCACCTGTCTGTCTGTCTGTCTGTCTGTCTGTCTGTCTGTCACCCCAACTGGTCGAGGCAGACGTCCACCCACCTAGAGCCAAAGGATCTGTCCTAGGTTTCTGCCTTTTAACAGGCAGTTTTTCCTTGCCCTTGTCGCCTAGTGCTTGCTCATGGTGGTACTGTTGGGTCTCATTAAATAATGTTTTAAAGAGTTCGGTCTAGACCTGCTCTATTTGAAAAGTGTCCTGAGATAACTTCTGTTATGAATTGGTGCTATACAAATAAAACTGAATTGAATTAAATTGAGTTTTTTTTTTTCGTTTAACATCAGAATATTGCAGCTCATCCAGGATTTTATGTCCTTAAGACATGTTTGTAATTTAGATAATTGATTAATTACATCGGGCTTGATCGATAGATATAACTGCGTATCATCTTCATAACAGTGAAAGTTAATGGAGAGATTCCTAATAATGTTGCCTAAAGGGAGCATATATAAAGTAAATAGTATCGGTCCAAGTACAGAACCTTGTGGAACTCATGACTAACTGTAGTATTTATTGAAGATTCATTGTTAACATGTACAAACCGCGAACGATCTGATAAATATGACTTAAACCAGCTTAGTGCGGTTCCTTTAATGCCAATTTGATGCTCAAGTCTCTGTAAAAGAATATCATGGTCAATGGTGTCAAATGCAGCACTAAGATCTAATAATACAAGTACAGAGACAAGTCCATTGTCAGAAGCAGTCAGAAGGTCATTATTAACTTTAACCAGAGCTGTCTCTGTGCTGTGATGAACTCTAAATCCTGACTGAAAATCCTCAAATAAACTATTGTTATGTAGAAAGTCACACAACTCTATGGCGACTACTTTCTCCAGAATCTTAGAGAGGAAGGGGAGGTTAGACATCGGTCTATAGTTGACTAAAACCCCTGGGTCAAGAGTGGGCTTTTTAAGAAGGGGTTTAATTACAGATACTTTAAAGGACTGTGGTACATATCCTGACAATAAAGAAAGATCAATTCAATTCAATTCAATTTTATTTGTATAGCGCCAATTCATAACAGAAGTTGTCTCAGGACACTTTTCAAATAGAGCAGGTCTAGACCGAACTCCTTATAACATTATTTACAGAGACCCAACAGTACCTCCATGAGCAAGCACTTGGCGACGGGGGCAAGGAAAAACTGCCTGTTAAAAGGCAGAAACCTAGGACAGACCCTTCGGCTCTAAGTGGGTGCTTGTCTGTCACGACCAGTTGGGGTGAGAGAGAGAGAGACAGAGAGAGAGAGAGAGAGAGAGACAGAGAGAGAGACAGACAGACAGACAGACAGACAGACAGACAGACAGGTGCACAGCAACAACAGTATTGGCAATGGCAATCTAGCCGGACCATGGTAGGAGGCTCCACCAGGATCGATGAGAACCTGCGAGACAACGACAGTCAACAACGACAGTCCAACAATGACAGTCCAACAATGACAGTCCAACGACAGTCAACAACGACAGTCCAACAATGACAGTCCAACGACAGTCAACAACAACAGTCAACAACGTTGGTCAACAACAACAGTCCAACGACAGTCAACAACAACAGTCCAGCGACAGTCAACAACAACATTCCAACGACAGTCAACAACGACAGTCCAACAACAGTCAACAACAACAGTCCAACGACAGTCAACGACAACGGTCCAACGACAGTCAACGACAACGGTCCAGGGCAGTCCAACAACGGTCCAATGACAGTCCTACAACAATCAACAACAACAGTCCAATGACAATCCTACGACAGTCAAAAACAACGGTCCAACAACGGTCCAATGACAGTCCTACGACAGTCAACAACAATGGTCCAACAACGACAATCAACAACAACGGTCCAACTACAGTCAACAACGACAGTCCAACAACATTCAACAACAACAGTCCAACGACAGTCAACGACAACGGTCCAATGGCAGTCCAACAACGGTCCAATGACAGTCCTACAACAGTCAACAACAACAGTCCAATGACAATCCTACGACAGTCAAAAACAACGGTCCAACAACGGTCCAATGACAGTCCTACGACAGTCAACAACAACGGTCCAACAACGACAATCAACAACAACGGTCCAACTACAGTCAACAACGACAGTCCAACAACAGTCAACAACGACAGTCCAACGACAGTCAACGACAACGGTCCAATGGCAGTCCAACAACGGTCCAATGACAGTCCTACAACAGTCAACAACAACGGTCCAATGACAGTCCTACAACAGTCAACAACAACGGTCCAATGACAGTCCTACGACAGTCAAAAACAACGGTCCAACAACAGTCAATAACAACAGTCCGACGACGGTCAACAATGACGGTCCAACATCGACAGACAACAACGGTCAACGACAGTCCAGCGACGGTTTGTAATCAATTGATCGTATTCTAATGCTGTAATCAATCGATCGTATTCTAATGCTGTAATCAATCAATCGTATTCTAATGCTGTAATCAATCAACCGATCGTATTCTAATGCTGTAATCCATCAACCGATCGTATTCTAATGCTGTAATCAATTGAATCCTAATGCTGTAATCAATCGATCACATTCTAATGCTGTAATCAACTGATCGTATTCTAATGCTGTAATCAACTGATCGTATTCTAATGCTGAAATCAATCAATCGATCGTATTCTATTGATAAGGATGCAGTAGCACACATACATTCATTTTGGAGGGTTTCTGTACAAGCTAAGCTAGAAGGACAGACCACACCCTGGGTTACCGTGGAGATCTACCCTCGTTACCATGGCGATATCTTCTGTTGCTGTTTCTGTGGTGACGTTCCTGCTGGGGGCTGACGTCTGTGTGGATGGTCATCAGGTTACAGGTAACAGGTAACAAGTTACAGGTTACAGGTTACAGGTCATAGGTAACAGGTCAACGGTCATAGGTCACAGGTAACAAGTTACAGTTTACAGGTAACAGGTTACAGTTGACTCACCTGATCCAGCCCTAACTATAAGCTTTATCAAAGAGGAACGTCTTAAGCCCCCTCTTGAATGTGGTGAGGGTGTCTGCCTCCCGAACCACAACTGGAAGCTGGTTCCACAGGAGAGGAGCTTGGAAACTGAAGGCTCTGGCTCCTGTTCTACTTTTAGAGACAATAGAACTATATACAGTTTTATATAATATTATAATAATAAAATGTATGTGGCACGTAGTGTAAAAGCGCTTTGAGTGGTCGGAAGACTAGAAAGGCGCTATACAAGTACAGGTCCATTTACCATTTACTTCTGCTAACCGGGCGCCCTTTATTTTATTATTTATCTCATTATTTTCTCATTTATTTTATTTCATTATTTATTTTATTTTATTGTTTCATTATTTCATTATTTATCTGTACTAATGAATATTTCCCATCAGGCAGCTGCAGCCAGGTACAGTTGCAATATAACACCAGTCGCTAATGTTAGCTTAGCTTAGACAACTTCAGCAAGCATCCAGCTAGAAATAAAGCTAAATGCTAACTGAGCTAGCTGTTAGCACCACTTTCATTATATTGATCAGTTTTATTGCTCTTACCTGCATGTGCTTTACACGGCTCGTGAGGGCAAAACATGTTCTTGCGAGAGTTTGTAACAAACAGCGACATTTGGTGGGAAACAACAGCCAGCGCACATTTTATTCTTCAGCGGTCTGGTCGGTAATTCCATATATGTCTGTACGTCCGGTCTGCTTCCGGTCCGTTGTAACTGGAAACCTTGCGCTCATAATCGGTAATGGCGGACCGACCGGAACCTTTCAACTGACACACTGGGACCACCGGAAGTCTTCACAATAAAATTGAGAGTTTGTGACAGTTAAAATTATTATATTAATATTAATGAACTCTGAACATTTCAAACCTCAGGAAGAACTTATTAAATCAGTACATTCATTCATCTTATAAACTCTTATTTTATTTTATTCTTTGAGCGTTGGACCGGCAGTCAGTCAGCAGGAGGTGCCACTGAGCTACTTAAAGTGTTTATTATCAATATCATTAACTTTACAGAGTTTCAGTGGTTTATGTTCATTCTCAGCGTCCCTTTCAGAATAAAAGCACTTTCTGCTGAATATTGAGAATATTGGACACAAACTGCTGGAGGTGGAAACCATTTCAACAGATCAATGAACAGGAAACAGCTCATTGATTGATATATTGATACGGAGAACATCAGAACTAATACTTCATTATGTAATGTAAGTAATCAGATTTTCAACTCAGCGTAGAGTCACAAGGCTCATCAGTGTCACACCTAACCCAGACAGCCAATCAAATCAATCAAGAAGCATGCTTTACTACTTTACCACATCCTGTTTACTATGCAGGTCAATAGGTTAGCTAGTTAGCTAGTTGGACTGAGAGCAACGGAGCAGCGGGTATAAAGTAAACTCAGTTATCACCTCTTTGAAATGAATTATATTTATTAATAAAATAATAATCAGCTGTTTGCCAAGATGTTTTTGAAGCACTGCGCCTGTGACGCTGCGTCTCTGTAACCAGTCCATTAATCCATCAGTCAGCAAATTCCAAATGCAGCTTCCAGTTTCTCAAATGTGAAGATTTCTTGGTCAGTGCTGCCCAACGCCGGCCGCCTTCAAGTTTCTGTTCGTCCTGCCACGTGTTAGTGTTTTTGAAATGTAAAAATAAGAAAGGTGAAATCGTATTTGAACCTCTGAGGACACCCCTGGGTCTCGACTTAAAAACAGTTTTGTATCTCTGATGACTGGAGAATCATCAGATTTCAGTCTGAACTCTGGTCTGAAGTCTGAACTCTGGTCTAAAGTCTGAACTCTGGTCTAAAGTCTGAACTCTGGTCTAAAGTCTGAACTCTGGTCTAAAGTCTACAGCTGAATAAAGTCCTGCTGCAGACCACCATCCTGCCTTCTGATAGGTTCTTTGCTGATCCGGACGTCCAGGTGCACCTTCATGTGGACATCTCTGGAGCGTTTCTCCTGGTAGCTCTTTCCGCACACTCTGCAGCTGTAGGGTTTCTCTCCGGTGTGCGTCAACAGGTGTTTCTTCAGGTCGTTCTTGGTGACGAAGGCCTTCCAGCACAGGTGGCAGCTGAACGCTCGCTCCTTCTTGTGGAAGCGGATATGGGTCTCCAGGTATCCTTTGGTGCTGAAGCTCTTGTTGCAGAGGCTGCAGCTGAACGGCTTCTCCCCGGTGTGGGTCAGCATGTGGGCGTTCAGCCCTCCCACCTGCCTGAAGGCTTTACCGCATATGCGACACTGGAACGGCTTCTCACCCGTGTGGATCCTCTTGTGGACCTCCAGGACATGGACTGACGCCAGACTCTTACCACAAGTCTCACAGGAGACGCGCTGAGCTGGCTTGTCTCCGGTGTGGTTCCTGATGTGTGTCATCAGAGCGCCATTATCAATAAACGTCTTTCCGCAGAACTCGCAGATATACGGTCGCTCTCCGGTGTGGATCCGTTTGTGGCGCCGCAGGGCGCCGGGCCTCGGGAAGGATTTACCGCAGATGCCACAGAGGTACGGTTTGACCCCGGTGTGACTTCTCATATGAGTCTCAATGTTCTGGTAGGTTTTACCGCAGATGTGACAGATTTTACCGGCGTCTCTGTGATTCTGCAGGTGGTCTGTCAGGGTCTCTGATGGCAGCAAACCTTCGCCGCAGACACCGCAGATGGACTCTGTTGAGTGACTCTTGGCGTGTTTCCTTAAACTACCTTTACTCTGAAAAGACTCGCCGCAGACTTTACAGCAGTGAGTCGACACCTTCACGTTCTCTTCTGCAGTTTTCTCTGGTTTCAGGCTCGGAGAGTCCGGCAGAGGCTCTGCGTCCTCATCGCCGCCAATCTCCCACGAGTGACTCCTGCTGTGTGTCTTTAAGGCGCTGCTCTCAATGAACGTCTTCCCACAGTGCTGACAGACGTAAGGTCGCTCCCCACCGTGGATCTTCCTGTGGCGCCTCAGTGCTCCAGGTCGGGGGAAGCGTTTGTTGCAGACGCCGCAGCGGTATGGTTTGATCCCTGTGTGGCTTCGCATGTGCGTCTCCATGTTCTGGAAACTCTTCCCACAGATGTTGCAGGTCCCACTGGCCTCTCTGTGAGCCTGTAGGTGAGTCCGCAGATGGTCAGGTGAGTCCAGCTGCTGTCCGCAGACGCCGCAGACGCTCTGAGACTCCCTGCTGTGGCTCTCGGCGTGTTTCCTTAGGAACCCTCGGCTGTGGAATAAATCGCCGCAGACTCTACAGCACAGCGAGGAGGACTTCAGCCCTCGATCTGTCTTTGGCGTCTCTAACTGACCGCCTTCGTCCTGTTCGTGGGTCTTCAGGTGATCCTGGAGCAGTTGGTTCTGGATGAAAGTGAGTCCACAGACCGGGCACACATCGGCCATCTTCCTGCAGTGGATCTTCTTGTGTCTCCTCAGTGCTCCGGGTCGGGGGAAGCTCTTGCTACAGACGTCGCAGCTGTACGGTTTCACCCCGGTGTGACTCCTCATGTGCGTCTCCATGTTCTGAAACATCTTCCCGCAGATCTCACACGTTCCGCCGCCGCTGATGGTTTCTCTGTGAGACCGAAGATGGTCGAAGAAGGACTCGTAGTGTTCACCGCAGACTCCACAGAGACACTCTGGGTTGTCCGAGTGCGTTTCTGCATGTTTCACCAGATTCCCTTTGTGGCGGAAGCTTTTTCCACAGTTGGCGCAGCAGTGAGCCGGCCGGTCCGACGATGCCGCCTGGTGTCTCCGGCCACCAGACTGCTGCCCTCCGTCTTCGTTAGTGGAAGAGTTGTCGCTGCCCCTCCAGTCGTCGTCACTCTCGGCTGCGGAGGTGTCCGAGGAGGCAGAGCTGAGCGGTGCTACGAGGAAGAGGTCGACTTCAGATAGCGGGCGGTGGTTTTCGTTAGCACTCGTCATCCTGATGGAATCTGGAAGAATATTTTTAAATGATAATTAGTTCATCAGGGTCACATGTTAATCTGTAACATGTGTGTTACAACATATACATATTATAACTTTAACACAAATTAAATTGTATTCAAGTTTTATTTTCCTTCCTCAATTTCTGACGAATCCTTTCTAGCAACTAGAAGCAGCCAGAAGCTGTCACACACTGACTGTTTACCATCCACTGTTTAGATCTTGGTGCTTTTTAACTCTAGATTTGAACCGGATGAAGGATTTTAGTCATCGGACGTCTGGATCTTAAGTTATCAGAGAAACAAGCTGAGCTAACGTTAGCAGCAGCTCGGCTCGCAGCCCCTCCGGGACGTCCTTTGTCTGTCCAACAGCGTGGGAGAAGCAGTCATTGTTAAGGTGGAACTGCTTTATTCAGTGTGTTTAAGGTGGAACTGCTTTATTCAGTGTGTTTAGTGGTTTTAATCAGCGGGTCTGTTTGTTTTGGAGAGGAGGAGACCTCTGTGGATCATTGGGCTCCCGGTAGAAACCTCCTGAAGCTGAAACAACTCCCATGATCCCACGCTGCTTCACCTCATCACACTTCTTTCTCTCTTATAGTTTGTGTGAGACCCCCTAGTGGCAGAAAGTACACACTGCAGATATAAACAGAGTTATTTCAGAATCAGAATCAGAATGAAATTTATTGCCAGATAGGTTTTTACACATACGAGGAATTTGTCTTGGTGCAATGGTGCTTAAAATATACAATCACACAAAATTTAATTTAATTGTGACACTATTAATAAACACAGTTAATTATAATGTAATTAGAAACTAAACAGGAGATCCTAACACCTTTTTATAAGATCATAGTATTAAATTATACTGTATTATATTAAATAATATTATATTTGTGTAATTCCAGTGTCTGTTTGGTTTGTAATTAAAATATCATTTAGGTGTAAAGTTGTGTGAAGTTCTGTTCATTAAATTACTGTAAAAACTTTCCTCTTGTTATTGATCATAGATTGATTATTCTTCACCTCTGTCCCACTTTATTGATCGCTGGCTTGAATCTGATTTTAACTGTAAACAAACTTTATTTTAAGACATTATTGATCATCTGTGACCACCAGCTTCTGTGACATCATCACCACCAGCTTCTGTGACATCATCTCCATCAGCTGCTGTGACATCATCACCACCAGCTGCTGTGACATCATCACCACCAGCTGCTGTGACATCATCACCACCACCAGCTGCTGTGACATCATCACCACAGATAACAACTGAAGTGTCCCACTGACCCTGAACACCTCTTCCTTTCATTAATATATCTGACCTCTGACCTCAGGTCACCATCAGAGCGCTGATGTGGCTCCAACATGGCGACTGTCTTCACTCACCTGTCCGGTTCAGTCGGACCACCGGGTTCAGCACCGCGTCCAGCAGCCGGTTCTGGCGCTCCAGCTGCCGCCGGTACTCCTCAACCTCCCGCTCCAGTAGCCCGACGATCCGCTCCGCCGCCGCCGCCAGACTCTCGCTGAGCAGCAGCCGCAGCAGGCGGCCCGCGGAGGCTCCGGAGCCTCCGGAGATCCGCTTCTCCAGCAGAACCAGGATCTCCTCTCCGACCCGGGTCAGCTGCTCCGACACCGAATCCTTCAGGACCCGGAGACCGCAGCGCGGCGGGGTTTCCGTCAGAGACATCCCAGTCCAGAGCTCCGTCTTCCGGCCGGCAGGAAGGAAAACAACGCGGGTCTGTTCCGGATCAACGAGTCATATTGAAATAGTGGATGAGAGGAGATTCTGCCCCCTGCTGGACCGGATCTGTTTCCACTGATACTTCCTGTTTGTGTCTTTGATGACAAATAAGCTACAATAACAAACTCACCTCCTACTGTTATATTAATGTGAACGACAGAAGAGAGTAAAATAACAAACAACAAACAAACAAACAAACAAACAAACCACCAGTGAAGTTTGATTTATACATTTATTTAATATGTTTCACTTCCTGTTTGTAATATTTTATTATAATTATATTAAATTGCTCCAATTTGAATCGGTAAGTAGAAAAAATAAATATTTATGGATTTGGAGATTTGATTATCCAATCAATCTGTTTACATTTGTGTTGCGATAGTAACAGTTATCTACATTAAATTTAAATCTGGTTAAGAATTTTTCATTTAAGATTTAATCCATCTATTTATCTGTCTGTCTGTCTGTCTGTCTGTGTGTGTGTGTCTGTCTGTCTGTCTGTGTGTCTGTCTGTCTTTGTGTGTGTGTCTGTCTGTGTGTGTGTCTGTCTGTCTGTCTGTGTGTGTGTGTGTGTGTGTCTGTGTGTGTGTCTGTGTCTCCCCTGCCTTTATATGGTGTTTGGGAGGTGGTACCGGTGATCATGAACTGTAGTGCCCTGGTACTGGTACTGGTACTGGTACTGTGGACCACTGCAGGTGGATCTGATATTAATCATCTTCTCAGTTTCACATTTGTGTTTTTATCCTGATTGGTTCTGAGGCTGTAGAATCACACAGGAACCAGAACCGGGACCAGAACAGGAACCAGAACAAGGACCAGAACAGGAACCAGAACCGGGACCAGAACATATATTATGGTTTATGACTTTGAAACCAACCTTAAAGAATCTGAATCAGGAGCTTTTACTGATCCAGTTTAGGTATTAAAGTTCTGAGTGATCCCATTAGCCCGCTCTCTTCCCGCTCTCTGGACCTTCAGTACCAACACTGCTGAAAAGACGCCTTGTGGTGAATTGTGGGAAGTTTTTTCACCTCACAGATGACAGAAATATGTGTTATAAAAAATCCCACAATGCATCACTGCTGTCGGGTAGGGAAGCTTGTTACTGCCAATGTGACGGGAAAAAAGATTCTGTAAGTCATAATAATTCGGGCCCGAGTCCCGACTGATATTCGGAGGCTGCTGCTGCTCGACGGCTCATGAAACGCAGCACAAACGTCAGTCGTGGTGAAAACAGTCGTATTTTCTAGGGGTCCGCTATGAGCAGGGCAACATGGTCCCTCGGGCCCATAAACTGTACCATCCGGGGCCCCTTTCACCGATATGCATAAAAATCGGCACACGTGTAGATCCTATCCAGACAAACAAAAAATCCACTGGGCGCCATATCCCAAACCCAACAGGAAGTCGGCCATTTTGGATTTAGCGGTAATTGCTGGCGATTTGCACACGTTGTATTTGAACGAACTCCTCCTAGGGCATTTATCGGATTGTCTTCAGATTTGGACACAGCCATCTAAACACATTCATGATTATAAGTTGTGCTATTTACGTTATTCCATCAAACGGCGTGCCCGTGTGGCGTGGAATTTCAACGACTCGCCATGAAAGAGCGATTTGTCATAACTTCTACATACGTGATCCGACTGCAACGAAACTTCACTTGTCTGATAAGAGTCCCGCTCTGAACACGTCTATGTGATAATATTCAGTAATAGTGAGAGCGCCATCTAGTGGTGAAAGGAAATGTTATGTTTTATACTTTCATGTTCTACTCCTAGCAGGATGATCAGATCAAGCTGAAATGTAAAACACATTGTTGATGATATGTGATGAATGTGGTGAGGGGGTGTGTCTGTGGTGTAACATTTTTATATAAAGCCACAAAACAAGAGTTTTCTATAACTTGAGTGTACATTGTCCATTGGGCTCCAAACTTCACTTGTCTGATAGCAGTCCTGCCCTGAACACATCTATGTGATAATATTCAGTAATAGTGAGGGCGCCACCTACTGTCAACAGGAAGTAAGCGCTACGTGGCGATTTTGATCTGATTTATGCGAAATTTTCATGTTGTGGTCCGCACGTGTTACGACAGCACGTGACGTGGCCGCAGCACGCCCCAAGTTGTGTGGAGTGAGAGGGCCCGTTCATTGCTGCTTGCAGCTTTAATATTATTATTATATAACAATATATATTGTTTTATATTATATATATTGTTATATATATTGTTTTATATTATATATATTATTATATATATTGTTATATAAAATATATAATTATATATATTGTTATATATATTATCACAAAGTCATAAGATACAAAGTTTGAGATACTCTAATATTGAGAAGGTTTCTCAAAGTACTGACTTACAGAATCTTTCTGTCACATCGGGACAAACAGACAGTGTTAACACAAAGAAAAAAATAAATTAATTTGTAACATTTGCCGAATTTACAAAAAGGCACAAATAATGAAATAATCTGTCGTAGTTTCACAAAGTTTATAAAGTTTCTCTTCACTCAGTAACTTTAAAATCTGTGATTTTTTTAAGGGAGTCTGGTGATCAAACATCTACTGCTGATGTCTGCAGGCTCTTACAGGACGTCAGTCAGGGAACCAGAACTCATCAGAGCTTACACTATAAAACATATGAACCACAGTTGAATATTGTTGGTTTGAGTCTCTAAATGGTAAACACATGCACATGCCCCCCCCCCTACAGCTGGATGAAGCCTGAGTAGAAACTGTCCGTCCTTGGCTGCTCTGAGGTCAGATCCAGCTCCAGTCCCACCCCGGTGTGGACTTTGAGGTGTCCATTGAGCGATCGTTTGGCCTGGAAGCTCTTCCCGCAGACCCTGCAGCTGTACGGTTTCTCCCCAGTGTGGATCAGCATGTGTCTCTTCAGGTCCACGTCCTGCATGAAGCCCTTCCCGCAGACCTGGCACAGGAAGCGTCTCTCCTTGTTGTGGAAGCGGACGTGAGTGTCCAGAGTCTGTTTCTGGGTGAAACCCTTCCCGCAGAGGCTGCAGGAGAACGCCCTCTCGCCGGTGTGGATCTTCAGGTGTGTCTTCAAGTTGCCGCTTTGGTTAAAGGACTTACTGCAGAAGTTGCAGGTGTACGGTTTCTCTCCAGTGTGGATCCTCATGTGCATCTCCAGCGCCGCGTGAGCCGGGAAGCTCTTCCCACAGACGTGGCAGGTGTTGCCAATCTCGCGGTGGGAGTGCAGGTGAGCGGCGAGGCTGGTGGCGGACTCGTACTGGTGTCCACAGAGTCCGCAGCAGCAGTCCGGGTCCTGTAGGTGAGTCTCAACATGTTTCACCAAGAAGGTCCTCTTGTCGAAGGCATCCCCGCACACTTTGCAGCGATAGGACGGTGCCGAGCTGCGGTATCTCTTTGGTTTGTCTGTGGTGTTCTGATGAGTCGCCATGTGTCGCTGCAGACTGCGGCGCCTGCTGAACTCCTGACCGCAGACACTGCAACTGTGAACCTCCTCACCGCTGTGCTCCCGCATGTGTCGCTCTAAAGATGTCATGTGACAGAAGGTGCGGCTGCACTCTTTACATTTGAAAGGTTTCTCGGCAGCGTGAACGCGGGTGTGCGAGGTCAGGTTGCCCTTCTGGCTAAACTTCTTGCCGCAGATGTCGCAGCTGTACGGTTTCTCTCCGGTGTGCAGCCGCACGTGCAGCTCCTGCGCCAGAATGGACTGGAAGGTTTTCCCACAGAAAGAGCAGGTTTTACTCTTTTCCTGGTGCGCTTGCAGGTGAGCCGTCAGGTCGTCCGCAGAGTCCAAACGCTCGCCGCAGAAGCCGCAGCAGAAGTCCGGGTCCTTGGCGCAGACCTGCAGGACGTGTTTGAGCAGGAAGCCTTTCCCCTGCAGAGCGCGTCCACACACCTGACAGCTGAAGCTCTGAGCCGGAGTCGACCGCTTCCGTTTCTTTCTGATGTTTCTGATGGTGAGCGCCGGCCGTCCTCTCTTCTTCTTACTCTGAGGTCTCAGAGTCTGACTCTGTTCGGCCCAGTCGCTGTCCAGGTCACTGTCGCTGTGGACAGCCGAGCTGCTCGGTGAGATGGGCGGATGGTAGGATGGTGATGGAGAGCAAGGCGTCGGGGGGCAGGAAGCGTCACTGTCGACTGGTTTGACTTCAATTTGGTTGAAGTCTGCAGGGTCGACTGGAGGCTGGAGGTCCGTGTGGATCAGGCTCACTTCCTGCAGAGAGTCTGAGGAGACAAAACAACACCTGATGAACTCTGACACACCTGAAAACACACGTAAGTTGTGTTTGTACAGTGTTAATAAAGTTGTGTGTTTGTACAGTGTTAATAAAGTTGTGTGTTTGTACAGTGTTAATAAAGTTGTGTGTTTGTACAGTGTTAATAAAGTTGTGTGTTTGTATAGTGTTAATAAAGTTGTGTGTTTGTACAGTGTTAATAAAGTTGTGTGTTTGTACAGTGTTAATAAAGTTGTGTTTGTACAGTGATAATAAAGTTGTGTGTTTGTACAGTGTTAATAAAGTTGTGTGTTTGTACAGTGTTAATAAAGTTGTGTTTGTACAGTGTTAATAAAGTTGTGTGTTTGTACAGTGTTAATAAAGTTGTGTTTGTACAGTGATAATAAAGTTGTGTGTTTGTACAGTGTTAATAAAGTTGTGTTTGTACAGTGTTAATAAAGTTGCGTGTCTGTACAGTGTTAATAAAGTTGTGTGTTTGTACAGTGTTAATAAAGTTGTGTGTTTGTACAGTGTTAATAAAGTTGTGTGTTTGTACAGTGTTAATAAAGTTGTGTGTTTGTACAGTGTTAATAAAGTTGTGTGTTTGTACAGTGATAATAAAGTTGTGTGTTTGTACAGTGATAATAAAGTTGTGTGTTTGTACAGTGTTAATAAAGTTGTGTGTTTGTACAGTGTTAATAAAGTTGTGTGTTTGTACAGTGTTAATAAAGTTGTGTGTTTGTACAGTGTTAATAAAGTTGTGTGTTTGTACAGTGTTAATAAAGTTGTGTGTTTGTACAGTGATAATAAAGTTGTGTGTTTGTACAGTGTTAATAAAGTTGTGTGTTTGTACAGTGATAATAAAGTTGTGTGTTTGTACAGTGATAATAAAGTTGTGTGTTTGTACAGTGTTAATAAAGTTAGAAGTCAGTCTGTCCGTCTGTGGAGTGTAATGTGTTGTTATCAAGCTAACAGTGGCTAATAGCTAACCTGGCTAGCGTTTGGTTTTCTGACTGGTTGAACTGGAACACGTTTTCAGAGTTAGCTCGGAGTTAGCTCAGAGTTAGCTCAGAGTTAGCTCTGTGTGGATATCATAATATTATTGGTTTGATTTACAGGAAGTCAGAAATAGGGCTGTTGGAAACGGTACAAACAATCAGAAATCTGCTGTTTGTCAGTTTACCAATAATTTATATAATATATATAATTAATATTTTATTTGCAGTATTTTGATGATTTGTGCAACAACTGGATTTTGATATAAAAATACAAATAAATAGATTTTTTGTGATCTTAAAGGGTTAAAAAAGACATTTTTAATTTAATCTGTAACTTCATTTGTTTTTCCATTAAGACTTTATTAATTAATAATAATGATGAGTTTAACCCTTTAATCTGCCCTCCATTCTCTCTGTCTTCGGGACTTTTGTTTTGAAGTAGAGCGGAAGTGGCGATCAGTGTGTGTGCGCGCTGTCTCCGGGTCCTCCGGGTCCTCCGGGGGCAGACAGCAGGGACTGACCCGCTCTGTGCAGCTTCACTTGGGGCTTCAGCACGGCATCGAGCAGCCTCCTCTGGCGGCAGATCTCCCGCTCTGACCGCTCCACTCTGTCTTCGTACTCCGCCACGGTTTCCTCAAATAGACCGACAATCTCCTCCGCAGCCGCCGTTAGCCGCTCGGTGAGCAGCGCTCTCAGCGACACCGGGACTTCTGCCGTTAATTCTCCTTTTCCCGCCTGCAGCAGAAAGTCTTCAGCGGCGGCGCTGATCCGCTCATGTACCGACACCCGCAGCAGCTGCACCGTGGCGCACATTTTACCGCTTTTCTGCGGACAAAGAGAGCCAGCGGGGACGTAAACACACACCGAGTTCCGCGTCGACGACAGTTCGCTGAGAAGAGAGCGAAGCGGAGCGGCGAACAGTGACCCCTGCAGGACCGGAGCAGTTTCTATCGTTTTACTTCTGTTTCTGTATTTCTCTCAATAAAGACAGTGTATAAAACTTAAGAACGTGGACTCAAATTATTTTTGGTAAATCTTTTTAAATAAAGGTCATATTGTAGATATTGTCTCTATTTTATCTTTATTTAAATGTTTCTCTCTTTTTATGTATAGAACATGTATCAGTTACCAAGCTCCTCTCCTGTGGAACCAGCTTCCAGTTGTGGTTCGGGAGGCAGACACCCTCACCACATTCAAGAGTAGGCTTAAGACATTCCTCTTTGATAAAGCTTATAGTTAGGGCTGGATCAGGTGAGTCCTGAACCATCCCTTAGTTATGCTGCTATAGGCCTAGACTATCGGGGGATTTCCCATGGTGCACTGAGCTCCTCCCTTCCTCTCTCTTTCTGCACTCATTCATGTTCCATTAATGCATGTTACTAACTTCACTTCTTCCCCGGAGTTCTTGTGCTTTCTCGTCTCGCAGGTTCTCATGGATCCTGGTGGAGCCTCCTGCCATGGTCCTGCTAGACTGCCATCATCCTACTAGGAGTAGAACATGGAAGTATAAAAAAATGACATTTCCTTTCACCACTAGGTGGCGCTCTCACTTTTACTGAATATTATCACATAGACGTGTTCAGGGCGGGACTCTTATCAAACGTGAAGTTTCGTTGCAGTCGGATCATGTACGCAGAAGTTATGACGAATCCCTCTTTCATGGCGAAGGTTTGAAATTGGATGCCACGGGACGCCACGGGCACAATGTTGGACGAAACAAACTGACTGCACTGACCAATTCTGAAGTAGATCCAATAGAACCTGTAGGAGGAGTTAGTTAAAATAGAAGCCCTGAAATGCCAAAAATGACATCACAGTGTGACATTCGTTTAAAATGGCCAACTTTGACGGCACGCCACGGACACGCCCTTCAACGTACAGTTACAAATTGAACAGCGTTCATTCAGCACCATGTTTTGACTGTACTGACCAATTTTGAAGCAGATCCGATAAATTAGCCGTTTGGCGGCGCCCGTGCACGGGGACAATGTCATATCGGTATTTTAGCTACATTTGAATTTTGTGCAAATTTTCATGGCATTTTGAGAATGTTGCGGGGGCCAAATATGCGGTCGAAGTCCCAGAGGTATAATAATAATTCCTAGAGGAACAATAGGGTCCTTGCACTTGTTAGTGCTCGGTCCCTAATTAACTCAACACATGATTTTTAGCATAAAAAGAATAAAACATAATCCAGCTCATGCCCAAAACCAATCAAAGGAGAGAAGAAGAAAAGGTGGGCGTTCCCTCACTTCACGAGCCAATCATAAGAGTGGGCGTTCCTGTGCCCCTTCGAGCCCGTGCCGTTGCTAGGAGAACGTTGCTAGGATACACCAAACTGAGCCGCCATCAGTAAAAGTTTGAGTCAGTTACAGCCGCTGTTTACAGTCAGTGAACCGGTTTCTACCGGTCAGTCGGTGCTTCTACCGGTCAGTCGGTGCTTCTAACGGTCAGTCTGTGTTTCTAACGGTCAGTCTGTGATTCTAACGGTCAGTTGGTGCTTCTAACGGTCAGTCGGTGCTTCTAACGGTCAGTCTGTGTTTCTAACGGTCAGTCTGTGTTTCTAACGGTCAGTCTGTGATTCTAACGGTCAGTTGGTGCTTCTAACGGTCAGTCGGTGCTTCTAACGGTCAGTCGGTACTTCTAACGGCCAGTCTGTGATTCTTCCGGTGTTTGGATATCAACCGTCGGTCGGATGGAGATCGTCCATGTGTACACGAAGCTCCGCAGTGAGTTTGGCCGGCAGTGCCTCCTCTCGGACCGGCCCGCTGAGCTGCTGGTGGACGTTCCTCCGGACCCGAGTCTGGCTCTACAGTTCATCCAGAAAACCCCCAGAGACCAGGCACTGCAGGCCTGCCGGGACATGTCCGAGCACCAGGTGAGCCTTACCTGCCTGACCTCCACCTTACCTCAGTTACACGGTAAATACTACAACTGTATATCAGTTACACTGTAAATACTACAACTTTATATCAGTTACACTGTAAATACTACAACTTTATATCAGTTACACTGTAAATACTACAACTTTATATCAGTGACACTGTAAATACTACAAATACTACAACTTTATATCAGTTACACTGTAAATACTACAACTTTATATCAGTTACACTGTAAATACTACAACTTTATATCAGTTACACTGTAAATACTACAACTTTATATCAGTAATACTACAACTTTATATCAGTTACACTGTAAATACTACAACTTTATATCAGTTACACTGTAAATACTACAACTTTATATCAGTTACACTGTAAATACTACAAATACTACAACTTTATATCAGTTACACTGTAAATACTACAACTTTATATCAGTAATACTACAACTTTATATCAGTTACACTGTAAATACTACAACTTTATATCAGTTACACTGTAAATACTACAACTTTATATCAGTTACACTGTAAATACTACAACTTTATATCAGTTACACTGTAAATACTACAACTGTATATCAGTAATACTACAACTTTATATCAGTTACACTGTAAATACTACAACTTTATATCAGTTACACTGTAAATACTACAACTTTATATCAGTTACACTGTAAATACTACAAATACTACAACTTTATATCAGTTACACTGTAAATACTACAACTTTATATCAGTGACACTGTAAATACTACAACTTTATATCAGTTACACTGTAAATACTACAACTTTATATCAGTTACACTGTAAATACTACAACTTTATATCAGTAATACTACAACTGTATATCAGTTACACTGTAAATACTACAAACTTTATATCAGTTACACTGTAAATACTACAACTTTATATCAGTTACACTGTAAATACTACAAACTAAACTTTATATCAGTTACACTGTAAATACTACAACTTTATATCAGTAACACTGTAAAACTACAACTTTATATCAGTAATACTACAACTTTATATCAGTTACACTGTAAATACTACAACTTTATATCAGTAACTAACTACAAACTTTATATCAGTAAAATACTACAACTTTATATCAGTGACACTGTAAATACTACAACTTTATATCAGTTACACTGTAAATACTACAACTTTATATCAGTTACACTGTAAATACTACAAATACTACAACTTTATATCAGTTACACTGTAAATACTACAACTTTATATCAGTAATACTACAACTGTAGATCAGTTACACTGTAAATACTATTGTACTGTATTTTGCTACACAGAAAAATACTAGCTAAATAGCTAGCTGATCTACATTAATTAGTAAGTTAGCTAGTTATACCTGATAGCTAATGTTAGCAAAACGCTAGCTAATGTCTGATGTAGATTAGCTAACCATTTAGTTAGCATTTTGCTAGCCTTAGCTAATTTAAGAATAGATTTAACTATATGTGTCTCAGTTATCTTTTAACCATCTTCAAAATGTGTCTTATCAACATAGATTAGCATAGCACATAGCATATCTATTGAGAAAATAGACATTTGATACATTGTACCAAACTTTTCTTTAAGGAATTTGCACTATACATCATATAATCAAAAATGTCAATGGTTAGCACATAGCATATCTACCGGAAAGGAGGAAGTTGGTTCCAAAAGGGGCAGGGCTTAGGATGGGTCAATTAAAGGTACAATAGGGCTGTCACGTTCCAAAAATGCAATTCATTTGACAAAGTGATCTATAAATGTAACAATAAATGTGTGACTGTATGAATCATTCACTCTTACACACCAATGGGCCACATATCCTCACATATAAATCTCTCATCTGATGGCGAGCTCCACTCATCTGTGGTTCCTCAGCTGCCTCACTTTGGTTCAAGCTAATTTTAGCAGTAAGTCACAAATGAGTCCACAGAAACCTCTCAGATGATTTGGTGTCTGATTGTCCACTCAGGACGGGTTTTGCTTGCTACTGTCCTCCATTTTAGTAGTAAACAGCACAACTTACCTCGGTAGGTTTACTTCAAGGTCAACAGGGCGTGTCATAGGTCAGTCTGATAGTGGAGCGCCCTCTGCTGGATCACAAGGCCAGCTACTGTAAACATACATACATATTGAATTTGAAACTGGCTGTTACACATTCAAATTGATGTTTGAATTTCTAGTAAAAAGTGACAGCCCTGAGGTCCAGTGTGGAGGATTTAGTGCCATCTAGTGGTATAGTTGCAGATTGCAGCCCTCTCGTCACCTTCCCTGTGGAAAGAAGAACTACAACTACAGTGGCCCCAGAACGTGTGAAAAACATAAACATCCCTTTCTAGAGTCAGTGTTTGGGTTGTCCATTCTGGGCTACTGTAGAAACAGTAGACTCCGCCAGAAGAGGACCCACTGCCTCTGTAGGTGGAAACGTCTCATTCTAAGGTCACGGGATTCTTATAATCAGCTGATTAAAACACTAATGAAAACATATATTGATGTCACACACTGGCTCTGGGTTAAACATGACGACCTGCAGGTGGACAGATGTGGACTGTTTGTGTCTGCAGGTAAACACGGAGCGCTTTGAGTCTGACAGCTGTGGGATAAACCACGTGGAGGGGGGGTGGCCCAAAGACGTGAACCCTCAGGAGGTGGAACAGACCATTCGCTTCAGGAAGAAAGTGGAGAAAGATGAGAGCTACATCAACAGCATCCTGCAGCTGGGCAGCGTAAGTGTTGTTGTGACATCAGCGTGCACTGTGTGATGTCAGCGCGCACTGTGTGATGTCACCCTGTGTGTGGTCCAGGTCATGGAGCACTGCATCAGACAGAACAACGCCGTGGACATCTACCAGGTATACTTTGAGGAGGAGGAGGAAGTGGAGGAGGCTCCGGATGCGCCATCCGCCAAGACCATCAATGTCTTCAGGTACCGCCGACTCACAGGAACAGGAAGTGCTCTTCCCAAAGTAAAAGTACTTCCTGTTTATTACTTGTTATATTCATCAGTGTTAATTAGCTCATAACAAGAATCTTTCTCCGTTCTGTGACTGTTAACTAATAAAGTCTCCAGTTACAAGGTCACTCATTAAACTGAAATACTGGTGACGCAAATGCCACAGCTGTGGTGAATTGAGATAATTAGTATAATTAGGATCCTGTTCAGTCTAATTACAGAATAATTAACTGTGTTTTATGTCCTGGGAACCTGGAAATATAGAGACTAGTTTTCCAGTCACTGAACCACCTGGAAATTGATTAAATGACCAAATATCCTGGAAATAATTTATGCTGTCCTGGAAAACTGTCCTGTTTATTGTATTTATGCTCCTCACTCAGCTAACACAGTCCCATAAACGCTGACCACCTACCTGTAAAGCACCTGAGAGACTTCATGATGTGAGTTAAATAATAATAGAAACTGTTTGTGAGCGAGTGCTCTAATGTCAAGAAAACTCTCTCTTTAAACATCCATTTCTGCCACTAGGGGGCTCTCACATCAGAACAATAACGAAACATAAAGTGTGATGAGGTGGTGAAGCAGCGTGGGATCATGGGAGTTGTTGTCTTCACCACCATTGGCGTCATTCCAGTCAGCTTCTCCCGGTTAGGATTCCTTCAGTGTTCATGGTTCAGGAGGTTCCTCCCAATGATCCACAGAGGTCTCCTCCTCTCCAACACAAACAGACCTGCTGATTAAAACCACTAAACACACTGAATAAAGCAGTTCCACCTTAACAATCACTGCTTCTCCCACGCTGTTGGACAGACAGAGGACGTCCCGGAGGGGCTGCGAGCCGAGCTACTGCTAACGTTAGCTCAGCTTGTTTCTCTGATAACTTAAGATCCAGACGTCCGATGACTAAAATCCTTCATCCGGTTCAAATCTAGAGTTAAAAAGCGCCAAGATCTAAACAGTTGATGGTAAATAGTCAATGTATGACAGCTTCTGGCAGACAACCACAACGCTGTTGCAGCCACAAAGGGGATATGACGCCACTGACAGGCGGCTGGTGAATAAAACCAGAATAGAATTACAGATTTCGCTAATAATGAAGTACTACAGATGTGGATTTTAAAGTCTTCTTCCTCTGTGTGTCTGCAGAGACCCTAACGAGGTGAAGCGGACCGTCACCGGTCTGTCGTGGCATCCCGACGGCGGCAGGAAGCTGGCGGCCGCCTACTCCTGCCTCGAGTTCCAGAAAACCTCCAAAGACATGAGCCTGGACTCCTACATCTGGGACATTGGTGCGCGAGACAGACAGCAGCTAGATCTCAGACCACCACAGGGTCCCGAGTGCTCATGGGTGGATTTGTTTTTGTTGTAGAGAACCCGAACAGACCCGAGATGACCCTGAAACCAGCATCATCACTGATCTGTCTGGACTACAACCCCAAAGACCCCCACACTCTAGTGGGAGGCTGCTACAACGGACAGATCGGTGGGTTCAGGTTCAGACTGATGGACAGGTGTCTGTCTGAGACCAGTTCTATTCATACTTTGCAGTCACGTGATTACCATGGTTACCTGGCGGGCAAGAAACTTATATATTTACATATATCCATCACCTTACACCGCACAAAAAATGAAAGCCTACAAAAGTACGGATAGCTATCTTTTCTTCAAGAGTGGATGGGTTAACAACGCTGTTGTATGGGAGGTGAAAAACAGGAATAAGCAAACGTGAGTGTTACTAGTTAGCTAGCTAACGTTACCCGCTAACGTTTGCTAATGTTTGCATGTCTGTAGCTATACACAAAGTGACATCTGTTCCGTCGTACACCCCGTCTGCCGCGAATGACAGCTTGATAAGTAGCGTTAGTTTAAAAAGACCCTTATGCCAACTAGGCTGTATCATATATGGCTAACAGGATGTCAAACATTGTAGCCTACCTGCTCATCCACTCCACATAGCATCAGACAACAGACAAGAGCAGCTGGGGCAGCGAAAGGCCTTTAATCCTGTTAGCAATCTGTTAGGTTGTAATGTTAATGTAGTAGTAATAACTGTACCATAGTATGTATGCAAAGTAACTGTAAGTAAGTAGACGCAGTACAACAGTAACGTGTGTACTGTAACATGTATTCTTCTTCTCATCATATCGAATTGGCGCTATACAAATGAAATTGAATTGAATTGAATTGAATTGAAAAATATCATATCAAATCACGTACATATGTATATATATATATATATACTTTTGTACCGTAAAACTGGCAACGTCCTGGCAAGATCCTTGATTAGTTTACTGGGTTTCGTTGCTGGAGAACGATGTTCTTGCCCGCCAGCTAGTAGTTGTGACGTCACGTGCAAAGTATGAATTAACCTGTGGGTGTGTTTGTTTTAGCATACTGGGACACTCGGAGAGGCAGCCAGCCTGTGGAGGTTTCCTCTGTGGAGCAGAGTCACAGAGACCCGGTCTACAAGATCATCTGGCTGCAGTCCAAGACCGGGACCGACACCTTCTCTGCCTCCACTGATGGACAGGTAGACTGACAGACTGACGGACAGGTGGACTGACGGACAGGTAGACTGTGGGACAGGTAGACTGACGGACAGGTTGACTGACAGACAGGTAGACTGTGGGACAGGTAGACTGATGGACAGGTAGACTGACAGACCGACAGACAGGTAGACTGATGGACAGGTAGACTGACAGACAGGTAGACTGTGGGACAGGTAGACTGACGGACATATAGACTGACAGACAAGTAGACTAATAGACAGGTAGACTGACGGACAGGTAGACTGATAGACTGACAGACAGGTAGACTGACAGACTGACAGACTGACGGACAGGTGGACTGACGGACAGGTAGACTGACGGACAGGTTGACTGACAGACAGGTAGACTGTGGGACAGGTAGACTGACAGACTGACAGACAGGTAGACTGATGGACAGGTAGACTGATGGACAGGTAGACTGACAGACAGGTAGACTGTGGGACAGGTAGACTGATGGACAGATAGACTGTGGGACAGGTAGACTGACGGACAGGTTGACTGACAGACCGACAGACAGGTAGACTGATGGACAGGTAGACTGACAGACAGGTAGACTGTGGGACAGGTAGACTGACGGACAGGTAGACTGATGGACTGACGGACATATAGACTGACAGACAAGTAGACTAATAGACAGGTAGACTGACGGACAGGTAGACTGATAGACTGACAGACAGGTAGACTGATAGACAGGTAGACTGATAGACTGACAGACAGGTAGACTGAGGGACAGGTAGACTGACAGACAGATAGACTGACAGACAGGTAGACTGAGGGACAGGTAGACTGACAGACTGACAGACAGGTAGACTGTGGGACAGGTAGACTGACAGACAGATAGACTGACAGACAGGTAGACTGATAGACAGATAGACTGAGGGACAGGTAGACTGATAGACCGATAGACTGACAGACAGGTAGACTGACAGACAGGTAGACTGATAGACCGATAGACTGACAGACAGGTAGACTGACAGAAAGGTAGACTGATAGACAGATAGACTGAGGGACAGGTAGACTGATAGACCGATAGACTGACAGACAGGTAGACTGACAGACAGGTAGACTGATAGAATAAAGAAAGGCAGTAGACTGATAGACCGATAGACTGACAGACAGGTAGACTGACAGACAGGTAGACTGATAGACCGATAGACTGACAGACAGGTAGACTGACAGACAGGTACTGATAGACTGACAGACAGGTAGACTGACAGACAGGTAGACTGATAGACCGATAGACTGACAGACAGGTAGACTGACAGAAAGGTAGACTGATAGACAGATAGACTGAGGGACAGGTAGACTGATAGACCGATAGACTGACAGACAGGTAGACTGACAGACAGGTAGACTGATAGACCGATAGACTGACAGACAGGTAGGGTTTAAGGTCTGACCCTCTTCCTGTCAGGTTCTTTGGTGGGACGTCCGCAGGTTGAGCGAGCCCACAGAGCGTCTGGTTCTGGACCTGAGCAGAGAAGGGAACCTGGACCGAGCTCTAGGAGCCATCTCTCTGGAGTTTGAGTCCACCATGGTGAGTTCTATGCAGCTAGCGCTGTGAGCTAGCCTCAGTGTCTACTGTCCAGTGAACGCAGCCAGACTCAGAGCCACTAGCACTAGTGTCACAGCCCGGCTCAAGGGTAGGACAAAGAGGAGAGGACAACACGTGATGATAAAGTGTGTCAGTCAGTGCATCAGCAGTGTCTGGACAGAATCTGCCTCCTACAGCGTATATAGCTACCCAAACAGGAAGTCAAGAGGGCTGTCATGCTAACTAGTTTTAAATGTGCATAGTCAGTGAGCTAGCGTGTTGCTAACATTAGCTTTCAGATGTAACTAGCTAGCTAATAATTTCAATTCAATTCAATTCAATTTTATTTGTATAGCGCCAATTCATAACAGAAGTTATCTCAGGACACTTTTCAAATAGAGCAGGTCTAGACCGAACTCTTTATAACATTAATTACAGAGACCCAACAGTACCACCATGAGCAAGACCTTGGAGACAAGGGCAAGGAAAAACTGCCTGTTAAAAGGCAGAAACCTAGGACAGATCCTCCGGCTCTAGGTGGGTGGTCGTCTGTCTCGACCAGTTGGGGTGAGAGAGAGAGAGAGAGAGAGAGAGAGAGAGAGAGAGAGAGAGAGAATGTCTCTCACTGTGTCTCCGTTCCTCTGTGTCTCTCACTGTGTCTCCGTCCTCGATGTCTCCAGCCCACTAAGTTCATGGTGGGGACGGAGCAGGGTGTGGTCGTCTCCTGCAACAGGAAGGCCAAGACTCCGGCAGAGAAGATCGTGTGTACGTACGACAGCCACCACGGACCCGTCTACGCCCTGCAGAGGAACCCCTTCTTCCCCAAAAACTTCCTCACTGTGGGGGACTGGACGGCTCGAATCTGGTCTGAGGACATTAAGGAGTCGTCCATCATGTGGACCAGGTAGGTATCAGACAACCTTTTGTCTTGCTGTCCTGTTTCCAGTCGTCCTGAAAGAGCTCACCTTGTCTTTTTTATCTCAACCTGTCCCATCGTTTCTGATCCCGTACCGTCTCGTCCTCACTGTCCTCCTGTCTCTGTCTCAACTTCCTGCCTTTAAATGTCTGTCTGTCTCTTTCTGTCAGGTATCAGATGTCGTACCTGACAGACGCCTGCTGGAGTCCAGTCAGACCCTCCGTCTTCTTCACTGTAAAGATGGACGGAGTTCTGGATGTCTGGGACATCTTGTTCAAACAGAACGAGCCCACGCTGAGTCTCAAGGTGTCTCCATCTCAACGTCACAAACCCATCTTTAGACCGGTTTCTACTGGAACCATCAGGAGCTTCATGTTCTCAATGTTCCTAACCTGTTGTTGTTGTTGTTGTTGTTGTTGTTGTTGTTGTTGTTGTGCTGGTGCTCAGGTGTGTGATGAGGCCCTGTACAGCCTCCGGGTTCAAGATAACGGGCGTTTGGTGGCGTGTGGCTCTCAGCAGGGCGGAGCCACCCTGCTGGAGATCAGCTCCGGACTGTCGACCCTCCAGAAGAACGAGAAGAGTCTGCTGGCTGCTGTGAGACACATCAAACACTCACACACACCTGCTGACCTGAGATCTGATTCACCTTTAATCCTTTAACACCCGGACACACACTGCAGCTCTAATCTGAACTGGCTCAGAGCGCCATGTAATGACACACTGAGTATTAATATAATATATATAAATATAAATAACCATTAGGAGCCAACCATTCCTGAGCCCCACCCCCTTTTTGCTCTGTGCTCCAATCACAGTCAACTTCCTCCTTCTTTCCTATACTGAGATATGCTATATGCTAAGCTAATCTATGTTGGAAAGAGAACCACACTTTGAAGATGGTTGAAAGATGAAAGAGACAGATTGTAGTCTCATCTGGAGTTAGCTACTGTTAGCAGCATAAAGAGGATGTCTCTCTCCCTCTCTCGTGTTTCAGATGTTTGAGCGGGAGACGAAGCGAGAGAAGATCCTGGAGGCCCGACAGAGAGAACTCCGTCTGAAGGAGAGGAGTCGATCGGAGCAGAGCAGAGAGGAGGACGTGGGGCGAGAGGACGGAGAGGACAGTCCCGATCAGCTGATCTCCAGAGCCCAGAAGGACTTCTACAGCGTGGTGGAGACAGAGCTGAGGAGGAGGAGGGACAGGGAGGACCAGGAGAACCGGGTCAGAACCCACTGAACCTCCTTCTTTTATTCTGTCCTCCCTCTGCTCCTTTGAGAGCAGGAGGAACTGCTAGCCTAGCTTAGCATAAGGACTGGAAACAGAAGGGAACAGCTAGCTTAATCTTTGTGGTAAACATCGTGAACTCAAACTAACTATCTTCTGGGAGAGCTTTTGGGCTCTATCTTGCAACTGACTTTGTACACTGGCGCTTGTATAATTCCTGTTTTGCACTCGACACACATTGGAATTTTCCCTCCACCGACGGACGTCCTTAAATTAGAGAATGAACTTGCGCTCGGGGGGGGCGGTTCAGCGAAAAGAGGAGGCGTGTTCCGGCGTTCCCTGGTGCAAACCCATCTTTAGACCGGTTTCTACTGGAACCATCAGGAGCTTCATGTTCTCAATGTTCCTAACCTGTTGTTGTTGTTGTTGTTGTTGTTGTTGTGCTGGTGCTCAGGTGTGTGATGAGGCCCTGTACAGCCTCCGGGTTCAAGATAACGGGCGTTTGGTGGCGTGTGGCTTTCAGAAAACAATTCCACCACAGACCAGGAAAAACCTAGTCTACAGTCAGTGGCGCTTATTCAGATGCTGTTTTAAGGGCGCAGACTTGAGGGGATGCGCCTGAGAGGCAGCAGCAACATCGCCACCCGGTCAGGACGGGCATTAATACTTTGCCACATCCCGGACAGCTCCCGCTCCAGCATGTCAAACCCGGTTTGCTGCAGGAACGGGTGGTCCTCCGGCGTGTAGTGGGTCTGGATCCTCTGCACCTTGGTGTTTGTGCTGCTCCCTCCTCAGCTGGCCCTTGCGCACTGCTCGGCCCTTGCGCACTGCTCCCGAGGCCACGGTCTTCTTCCTGCGAAGCTGCGTTACATTGTTTGGATTTATTGTATCGCTGTGTTTCATTTTTTTCATGTCAATAATGACACTTCCTGACGAGAACGTCTCCCCGGCTGTGAACCGCTCCTGGCGTGCGCCTGGCAAATTCGCCGTTATAATAGCAATCCGCCATGGAACAAGCGCGCCTGCTTTTAAAGGGAATGTGAGATGGCGCTCTGATTGGTTTATTGCACGTTACGCCCAAACCACACCTATAATGTAGCTACTTCAGAACAACCCAGTGTAGATTTGCGCCGGGCGCAAGAGTCATTTATCCCGCCGGCATAATAGCAACAGCGCCCGAGATCCGCCCACAAAGCTACTTGCGTTTTGCGTTTCAGACCGGCAAGATAGAGCCCATTGAGCGTATTCCAGGATGTTGGTCACATGATCAGCGACTGAAGGCCTGTACTTTGGTAGATTTCATCTATTATTATTGATTGTTTAAAGTGTGATTTGTGTGAGCTGAACGTGTGACTTTCCCTTCAGGAGAAAGACGTCTGTGAAGAAAAAGAAGTGAAAGACGAAGCTGGAAGGTCTCAGTGAACACGGACGCGTTTCTGTTGGACAATATTTATTCTTTATTGTTCAAAGTCACACAAACAATAAACAGAGTTAAACAGTAAACGGTGTGTGTGTGTGTCTGTGTGTGTGTGTGTGTGTGTCTGTCTGTCTGTGTGTGTGTGTGTGTGTGCTGTGTGTGTGTGTGTGTGTGTGTGTGTCTGTGTGTGTGTGTGTGTGTGTGTGTGTGTCTGTCTTTGTGTGTGTGTGTGTCTGTCTGTCGTCTGTCTGTCTGTGTGTGTGTCTGTGTGTGTGTGTGTGTGTGTTGTCTGTCTGTTGTGTGT